CCCACATCTCAGGTCACTCGGGGCAGGAGACGTAGGTCCTCTGTGAAGACCCCTGAACTGGTTGTCCCCACAGCCCCTGAGCTCCAGCCTTCGATTTCCAAAGACCAGCCTATCACCCCTGAGCTCACATCGCGGATCACTCGGGGTAGGACACAAAGGTTCTCTGTCAAGGCCCCTGAAGTAGTTGTCCCTACAGCCCCTGATGTTCAGCCTTCCACCTCTAAAGACCAGTCTGTCACTCCTGAGCTCATATCTCAGGACAGGACACATAAATTTGTAAAAACCCCTGAACCGGTTATTTCCACAGCCTCTCAGCTCCAGCCTTCCACCTCCAAAGGCCAGTTTGTCCTCACTGAGTCTGTATCTGGGGCTACTCAGGGCAGGGCACGTAGGTCTTGTGTCAAGACTCCCAAAGCAATTGTCCCCACAGCCCCTGAGCTCCAGCCTTCTACTTCCAAAGACCAGCCTGTCACCCCTGAGCCCACATCTCGAGTCACTCGAGGCAGGACACGTGGGTCCTCTGTCAAGATCCCTCCTGAATCAACTGTCCCCACGGCCCCTGAACTCCAGCCTACCACCTCCAAAGACCAGTCTGTCCTCACTGAGCCCACATCTGGGGCCACTCATAGCAGGATACCTAGGTCTTCTGTCAAGATTCCTGAGCTAGTTGTCCCAACAGCTCCTGAAGTCCAGTCTTCCATCCCCACAGACCAGTCTGTCACCCCCAAACCTACATCTCAGCGCAGGACATCCAGGTCTTTTGTCAAGACCCATGAACCAACTGTTCCCACAGCCCCTGAGCTCCAGCCTACCACCCCCAAAGGCCAGTCTGTCACCCCCAAACGTAAATCTCAGTGCAGGACACCCAGGTCTTCTAGCAAGACCCCCAAACCAGTTGTCCCCACAGTCCCTGAGCTCCAGGCTTCCACCCCCACAGACGAGCCTGTCACTCCCAAACTCACACCTCGGGCCACTCGGGGCAGGACACAAAGGTCCTCGGTCAAGACCCCTGAGCCAGTTGTCCCCACAGCCTCTGAGCTCCAGCCTTCCATCTCCACAGATCAGCCTGTCACCCCTGAGCCTACATTTCGGGCCACTCGGGGAAGGATACATAGGTCCTCTGTCAAGATCCCCCAACCAATTGAATCTACAGCCTCTGACCTTGAATCTCTCAACCCCATAGATCAACTGGTCACCCCTAAGGCTATAGCTGAGGGTGGTCAGGGTAAGACACTAAGGTCTACAGTAAGTGCTGTGCCAGTTCTTACCACCCATGAATCCCAGAATCCTGACCTCATAGGCCAGCCTGTTCCCCCTGAGCCCATCCCTCAAGCCAACTGCAGCAGGAAGCGGAGGGCCACAAGGAAGCATGGGTCCTTCACAGCTCCCATTGTCCATCAGCCCCACTCTGCACCCCCTGAACCTAACTCTCGATCCTCAAAGAACCAAAGACGAGCAGTGAGAGCAGTGGAGTCTCTTAGGACCATTCCCGAGCCTGCTCTTGCCCAGCTTCCTGAGGCCCCCACTCATGCTACCCAGATCCAAAAGGTAGAGGCAGCAGGCAGATCTGAGTTCACCCCAGAGCCCCAGTCTAAGCCCTCTCAGAGCCGCAAGAGGCCTTTGGCTACTGTGGATTCACCCCCACTTCAAAAACGGCTCCAACAGAAGACCGTGTCCCTCCACAAAGAGGAAGAAGATTCAGCAGAGAGCCCAAGGAAGGACGAGGTGAGGTGAGGGCTGGGGCCATGAAGCTAGGAAAGGGCTTGGAGGCTCGGAAACTCCCAGCAAGATCTTTCTCAATCCCAGGTGGCAGTGATTCCAGGACCAGGCAAGAGAAAGAGAGACCAAACAGAGGAGGAGCCCAGGGGAATCCCAAGCTGCAGCCTTCGGCGGGTCAAACCTAACCAAGAGTCCACAGCACCCAAAGTAGGAGAGAAGGGGCCTGGGGCTTGGTGGGAGACAGACATGGGAGGATGGGAGGAGACTTAGGGGTTCAGAGATAGACACTGATGGCATGGGTTGCCGTGACCAGCTTAGGCTAACTCCCTCCACAGGTACTCTTCACAGGTGTGGTGGATGCCCGTGGAGAACGGGCGGTGCTGGCCCTAGGTGGGAGTCTGGCCAGCTCAGTGGCAGAGGCTTCCCACCTGGTGACTGATCGAGTCCGCCGCACGGTCAAGTTCCTGTGTGCCCTGGGGCGGGGGATCCCCATCCTCTCCCTGGACTGGCTGCACCAGGTGAGAGGCCAGGAGGTGATAGCACACCAGCAGAGATATTGATGGCAGAAGACTGCTCACATGATGCTCTAGAAAGTAGTGAGGGGAAAGGGGGTAAAGGAAGACAAGGGAGGTGAATGAGGCAGAAAGCAGCTTAATTCAAAGAACATTTCATAAGCTCCGTCCACATGATAAGCAGAAGAGCCGGGTGGTAGGCTGGGCTCAGCTTTGATGCTCACTGCTGCTATCCTTAGTCCCGCAAGGCTGGTTGCTTCTTGCCCCCGGATGAATATGTGGTGACTGATCCTGAGCAGGAGAAGAACTTTGGCTTCAGCCTTCGAGATGCCCTGAGCCGGGCTCGGGAGAGAAGGTTGCTAGAGGTGAGAGGCTGTCTTCTGCCCCATGCTTCAGGCCTCCTTCCTGAGGCTCTCCAGCTGTTCATGGGCTCTCAGTGCATACATCTATGGTCTTCACTGTTTTCTTCTGCTTAGGGCTATGAGATCCATGTGACCCCAGGAGTCCAGCCACCACCACCTCAAATGGGAGAGATCATCAGCTGCTGTGGAGGCACTGTCCTACCCAGCATGCCCCGCTCCTATAAGGTATGGGTGGTATGTTTTGGGTCTAGTGAGGTGGCAGTTAAAGAGGTGGCTGGAATGGGAAAAGTTTGGAGAATACTGGTATGGATAGAAACACAGAGTAGTGAGAGGGTGGGGGTAAGCTCTGTGGTATATAAAGGGATAGGAATGTAGGAGAGGTTTGCTGATTCCAAATGGATTTTTATTTTGCATTTTTAATATTTTAAATATACACAAAGGGAGAGAGAACTTCCATATATCAATGAACCTCCATATGTCAGTCACTCAGATTTAACAAGGTAGCTTAGATTTTGCTATATCGTCTGCATTTATCCCTTTTTTTTTTCTTTGCTGAAGTACTTAAAAAATGTTTTGTAAAGTTTATTTATTTTGAAAGAGTATGAGCAAGGTAGGGGCAGAAAGAGAGGGGAGACAGATCATCCCAAGCAGGCTCTGCGCAGAGCCTGATGCGGGGCTCAGACTCACAAACCATGAGATCATGTCATGGGCTGAAACCAAGAGTCAGATGCTTTACTGACTGAGCCACCCAGGCGCTCCTTTGCTGAAGTATCTTAAAGGAAACTACAAGCATCATATTATTTCCCCCTACATAAAGTATACTTCTGTAAGAAATGATGTATGTTTGTTTACATAATCACAACGCCATTATTGATCCATAACAAAATTAACAATAGTTTCTTGTCATTTTCTCAGAGTCCATTAGTCAGATTTTTCCGATTGGCCAAAAATGTGTCTTTATAATTCAAGTCAAGATTCAGATGAGGTCCAAGTATTGCCACAATTTCAATCTCCTTTTTTTTTAATGGTTATTTAAAAAAACTTTTTTAATGTTTATTATTATTTTTTTTAATTTTTATTTATTTTTGAGACAGAGACAGAGCATGAAAGGGGGGAGGGTCAGAGAGAGAGGGAGACACAGAATCTAAGCAGGCTCCAGGCTCCAAGCTGTCAGCACAGAGCCCGATGTGGGGCTCGAACTCACAAACTGTGAGATCATGACCTGAGCCGAAGTCAGACGCTTAACTGACTGAGCCACCCAGGCGCCCCGAATGTTTATTTACTTTTGAGAGAGAGAGAGACACAGTGCAAGCAGGGTAGGGGCAGAAAGAGACAGAATCTGAAGCTGGCTCCAGGCTCTCAGCTGTCAACACAGAGCCTGAGGCGGGGCTCAAACCCACGAACTGTGAGATCATGACCTGAGCCAAAGTTGGAGGCTTAACAAACTGAGCCACTCAGGCACCCCTATTTATTTTTGAGAGAAAGTATGCTTGCACATGTGAGCGGGAAGGGACAGAGAGAGAGGATCCCAAGCAGGCCCTGCCCTGACAGCACAGAGCCCCAACTCAGGGCTCCATCTCATCACCCGAGATCATGACTTGAGCTGAAATAAGTTGCTTAACTGACTGAGCCACCCAGGTTCCCCTCACAATTGCATGTCTCTTAATTCTCTTTTACTCTAGAAGATCCCCTCCCCCCCCCCCCAACCCACCCAGCCTTTCTTATTCCATTGACTTCCTGCAGAAACTATGTCAGTTGTTCTTTAGAATGTTCCAGTCTGGGTTTTTCTGTTTGCTCCTTTGCTGTGTAATTTATCTTGTTCTTCCATCTCTTACATTCCTTGTAAATTGTAGTTAATTTTAAAAGCTCGAATAAATTCAGGTTCAGTTTTTCTGGGAAGAGTACTTCCAGCAAGTGTGCTTCCTATCAGGAGGTATATTGTAGCGATGCTGAAACTGATTTGTGGACTCCAAACCTATTTCTAGGATTGTTTTTCACCCATGACTTTGTCTTTGCTCTCTGTCTTTCCCAGCCTCAGAGAGTTGTGATTACATGCTCCCAGGACTTCTCTCGATGCTCTATTCCATTTCGGGTTGGGCTGCCCATTCTCTCACCTGAGTTCCTGCTGACAGGAGTGCTGAAGCAGGAAGCCAAGCCAGAGGCCTTCATCCTCTCCACTTTGGAAATGTCATCCTCGTGAAAACATCACCACAGTACTTACTGTTTTCCCTCCCAGACCAGTAAATAAAGTGTTAGAAAAGATTTGGAAGAAAGAACCTAGGGCTTTAGAAAGAATTGGGGTATGCTGACCTGATTTGTCTTAGAACATGGGTGGGGCTAACAAGGCTTATGGATAAACAAAAAGATAATGAGATTTTAGCCACAGTTGTTTTTTGGTTTTTTTTTGTTTTTTTGTTTGTTTTTTTTTTTGTTTTTTTAGTAAACAACTTAGTCTTTTATTTGCCCAAGGCTGGCTGTTGCAGGCACTAAGGACCCAAAACTTCCAGAAGGGATGGAGGAGGGAGGGGCAAACCATCCTGCCTACCAGGTGCTACCTGCCCCCATCCTGCTTCCTGCAGGAAGCGGGAAAAGAGATGAAGTCTACATTTGTGCCATCAAGTATCAAGCCTGCTTTCAGATACTATAAATACTCAGTTGCTATTGAGGAGGAAACTGAGGCACTCTGACTCCCCAGGCCTCTATCTGCCAGTCCAAGTTTTTGCCTGCTCTCTCTCTCCAGAATGAGCTGCAGGTAGCCCTTTGCTGGGGGAGGGTCTCAGGAGCCCATCTCGTGGCCTGTGTGGGGGGGGGGAAGGCCAGCCAGTGTCAAGGGCTGGGGCAGCAGGAGGAGGGGTGTGTTTGGAAGAGCAGCTGCTAGGAGGGGGGAGTCAGCACTGAATAGGGACCCCAGCTGGGGTTCCATAATGATATCAGTGGGGGACAGCCAGAGCCCTCTGCTGTCTAGAAGGGGAAACTGAGGCAGAGACCCCTCCCATCTTTGAGAAGGGAGGGGCCTCCTATAAGCTATTCAGGTCTATTTACCATCTCCACAAAGACACTACAGCCCGGGAGTTGGAGCATGTCAGTGGTCACTCAGTGTTTAGATTGAGACACAAGGAGTGGGAGGCAGCTGGGTCACCTGATGAGACACAGATTTCTCAAATGGCCACTTAGAGTTGGGTAATCCCATTCTCAGATATCATAAGTGGCTGCCCTTAGCAGGACTGATGTACTTACTGCTGTGTGGCACACATGGTGTCCTGCCTCCTGTTTGGAAGCCATCTCTCTCCCTCTTTGACTGGGATTCTTATTCATCCTCTGAAAGAGAGTAGAAACAATTTTAGTGTCAAGAACTTGAAGGGATGCTTGGAGTGAGTAAATTTGAGGTTGGAGGTATGGAATGCTACTAAAATATTTTCCTCTCTCCTCACCCCATCTTGTTAGAAGTGTTCTTTAGTTTTGACTTTGAGCAGATCTTTGCACTTTTCTGGCCTGCTTTTCCAGTATTTATAAAATTAGAGCTTAGGTTTAATTTCTGTGATAAATAAATATTCACTCTGTGCCTTATGGTGTAGTGCAGGTTTTTTTTAAACATCTTAAATTTATGTATTATTTATTTATAATCTTACATCTTATTTATGTATTTGTTTATTTTTGTCTTTAAAGTAAGCTCTACACCCACTGTGGGGCTTGAACTCACAACCCCAAGATCAAGAGTTGCATGTTCCACCAATTGAGCCATCCAAGTGCCCCTTAAATTTAAAGTTTAAAAGTTGGTTGATTTCAATGATGTGGAGAAATTGGAACCCTTATCACATATTGCTGGTGGGAATATAAAATGGTTCAGCTGCTGTGGTAAACAATCTGACAATTTCTAAAAAATCAGACATAGAATTACCAAAAGACCCAGTAATTCCACTAGTAGGTGTGCACCCAAAAGACTTAAAACACATGTTGAAACAAATACTTGTACACAGATGTTCATATCTATACTTCATTAGAGCCAAAAGGTGAAAAGAAAAATGTTCATTAACAGGTGAATAAACAAATGTGGCATATCCACACAACAGAATATTATTCAGCCATAAAAGGAGATGAAGTATCGATTCTTGCTACAATGTTTTGAGAATGAACCTCAAAACATTATACTAAGTGAAAGAAGCCAGACACAAAGTCACCTGGGATGATTCCACCTACATGAAATACTTGGAATAGGTAAATTCATAGAGACAGAGTAGAGTAGTGGTTGTCAGCAGCTGGGAGAAGGGAAGGGGGAAATGGGGAGTGACTGCTTAATGGGTATAGGGTTTTATTTTGGGATGATAAAAATGCTTTGGAACTAGATAGAGATGGTGATTGCACACATTATGAATTGTATTAAATGTCACTGGATTGTTCTCTTTAAAATCGTTTTTATGTTATGTGAATTTCACTTTAATAACCAAGATGGGTGATTAGTTAGTGGCTCTTCTGCAAGTAAATTATACTTAAGTTTGTAAAACGTTGGTGTAGTAGAAAGAGCATGAGCTTTGCCACATACTGCTGACTTTTAAACATATAAACATGTCTTTTTTAATGTTTATTTATTTTAGAGAGAGAGAGAGCACACACGTGCAAGGGGGGGAAGGGCAGAGAGAGGGAGACAGAATCTGAAGCAGGCTCCAGGCTCTGAGCTGTCAGCACAGTAGGACCCAAATAAATATTAGTCCCCTTGCACACTCAGAATCTTGTACTGTGTGAAACTGTCTATGGCCTTGAGGTTCATGGGGCACCTTACAGTACTAGCTGTCTCTATACCCCCATTTTAGCACTCATCTGCACCTTGACTTCGTGACATTGAAGTGTCCCAGTTTAAACTTCTGGAGAATAGAGATCTTTTCTTACACTTCCAATGAATACTATAGTAGTACAAATAATGTATTTCTATCAGGGTCCTAGCAGGAAATAACAGCACAGTCAAATTAGGATAATTGGAGAGAGTTTAATACAGTGAAAATGACAAGGAAGTTGGGAGAGTGTAGAGAAATCATAATGTTACAGTACCCTAGTACTCACAGCTTTATTGTGACCACCTCTAAGTCCAAAAGGTTGAGAGGAGAGAGCAGTTATGCAGAGAGGGCTTCCTCAATAAAAGCTGTGATTTTCATTGATTTAGTCCATTCGGGGCAACCTCGAACAAGAAGGGTGAAGGGTGCATCTGGAGGGAAAACATAAGACTGGTATAGTTTACAACAGCACTGATTCAGAGGAGGGTGGGAGTACTGATCCTCCAACAGAAGGAAAGTAAAGGCTGTGGGATGCTGCCTGGCAATTTTCTCATCCATGAGCCCACAGGACTAGCAGCAACTTAGTTCTCATCTTGGTAAATTTTCTTTATATTCTTATGTCTGTAAGCTGAAGGATTTCGCTACATGATGTTCTAAGGTCCCTGCTATGGTCATAGGTACTGTGACTAGGTCCTTAGCAACATGATGTTTAATTCAGATGGAGAAAAACCTTATTTTTACTTTGCTTTTCAAATATGTTATTCTGTAGGTATTACAAACAGGTCTGGAGGAAAAAACTCAGACAAAAGATCTTAGCGGTTTCTGACTCGTGGATGGTGGTCAGGCTTATGAGCTTGCAGAGTAAAGTCATAATTATCACAAGCTTGGGTAAAATGAACCTACTACAAAGTTTACAACACAAAATTTTCTATCACAAATATTTAACATTGTTATTCTCATGATTATAGATCAACAGCCTTTGGCATTATTAGAAATAATCTAAGTGTTACAGAGAAATTCTCTGTCCTTGGCAAGTGGAGAGAATAAGTTACAGAATAAACATTAATTTACTTTATGGTAAAATGGTCACTAACTTTTTAACAAGATGTAATAGGTGATTCAGACCTTTGGGTTTTCAGCCTCGGTCAACAGTCTTCCGTTCTCTCACCGTTTCCTATTTGAAGCGTTAACCGACGCTTTGTAACCTCTGACTTTGGCTATGTTTAGTGGCTAAGGTTACAGAAAAGGGGGTTTATAATTCTCGTTTTCTACAAGAACCCTGAAAGAAATGAACGAACTGTCTTCATTTTAGATGAGACAACTAGCCGAGCTGCGACTCAACCCACACGAGTGGCTGCAGAGCAGCCTACGTTTCCACTTGTCACTCAGAATTCTAACATTCCCTTCTATGACGCGGCGACCGCTCAGTCAAGGCGCCGGGACCCGCCCTAGGGACAGTGTGAAAAAAAAGCGCGCGGAGAACGCACGCCGAGGCAGCGGCGCGAAGGAGCCACGCCTTCCTGGGCAGGACCCCAGGCTGGAGGTGGGGGCGGGGGCGGGGCCTGCGGCCGCGGGAATCCCATACCCGCCCTTTTCCCAACCCCTCCGAGTGTCGCCATGGCCCCAACTCTGCTCCTCGTCCCTGCTGCCCTCGCCTCTTTCATCCTGGCTTTTGGCACCGGAGTGGAGTTCGTGCGCTTTACCTCTCTTCGGCCACTTCTTGGAGGGCTCCCGGAGCCTGGGGGTCCGGGTGAGCGGAAGGGATCGAGGATGAGCTCTGTGGCTGGAGGTGGAGCCGGACGAGAGCGAGGGAGGGCGGGGCTTCGAGACAAATGACAGGGGAAGTCCGGGAGAGGGAACTAGAACCTTGAAAGCCCGAGAAGCTTCAGGGCTGACCGGAGGGCTAAATTAGGAACTCAGGGATTAGCGGTTTGGAGAGGCGGAAGAGTTAGGACTGAGTGGGGAGGGAAAAGGCGATAAGAAGCAGAGGAAAGGAAAGTGCTTTTGTAGAGAGGACTATGGCGAGGGGAGTGTTAAAAAGAGGGCACATTTGGAGTACCGAAAACACGAGGATAGTCCAATGGTGGCCTCTCCAGCCAAGCCTTTTGTGATTGAAGGAATCCTCCCCCCCACTCTGAAGGAGGCCTGGGGAAAAGGGAAAGGGCAGAGAATGGAAAAGCAATATGGGAAAAACCAGGAGAGGAAGCATTAAGGCTCTTGAAAGCATTAAAGGACATGGCCTGGGACCCCCAAGAGGAGATTAGGGTAGGGGGTGTTTCCTGAAACTTTCTTGATCTTTTGTCCCCTTCTTGAACTCCCCCTAGATGCCCGCCAAGGATGGCTGGCTGCTCTGCAGGACTGCAGCATCCTTGCCCCCCTGGCTTGGGATCTGGGTCTCCTGATACTATTTGTGGGGCAGCACAGCCTCATGGCAACTGAGACAGTGAAGGCGTGGATGTCTCGATATTTTGGGGTTCTTCAGAGGTCACTGTACGTGGCATGCACTGCCCTGGCATTGCAGGTATGAGGCCTTGGCCACTGAGTCCCCAAGGGAAACAATCTGTGAGAAGGGTGCCCTCAGTTGAAGGGGCAAGGACCTTAGCCTTCGGATAAAATGTGGGTTTAGGGGAATTTAGGGTGTTTAGGACTCTAATCTCAGCTTCCATTCCTCCACAGCACATATCCTTCTTCTTATCAAGAATGGTGTACCACTCCTCATTCCCCAAGTACCATATGTGCATTCTCACCTTTGCAACTTTGTTCATGTTGTTCTGCTTGAGATCCCTTTGGTGACACCTCTTTCAGTCCTACCCTTTCTTCAGAATCACTTCTTGAGGTCTCAAGAGGAGGCTTCCCAGTTAGTACACATTTGTTTTCTCAGTGTGTGCTTGGCACAGGCTACTTTATGTACCTATCTGGTCACCCCCGTCTGTTCTCTTAAGTCCTCAGGGTAGATACAGGTTATCCTTACATCCTTGGGACCCCCACCTAGCATGTTCCACATGGTGAATTTTTGTTTATGATGCTCATGGTAGAGGTGGGGAGAACTGCAGGCCAGCCTGGGGTGGGGGCAGCCTCTGGGTCTAGGTCTTTCAAGGGTAGGCTGCTGAGATACCCAGCCCCTCATCCTTTCCCAGTTGGTGATGCGGTACTGGGAACCTGTACCCAGAGGCCCTGTGTTGTGGGAGGCTCGAGCTGAGCCATGGGCCACCTGGGTGCCCCTCCTCTGCTTTGTGCTCCACGTCATAGCCTGGCTCCTCATCTTCAGCATCCTTCTCGTCTTTGACTACGCCGAGCTCATGGGCCTCAAACAGGTGAGGCTCCCAGATTCCTACCTGAGACCTCTGATTCCCTCTAGAATGCCTCTTTCCCTTTCAAGGATTTCCCTCCTCCTCCTCCTCCCATGCTCTTCCACCTTCCTCTTCTTTCAACTCCCTCACCTACTTCCTTTTCTTATAAGAGAGTCTCCCCTCAGCTTTCCCTCAAAGGTCAGAAACCATAGGCCTCCTGGGCCTAGCAGAGATGAGAATCAGGAGTCCAGGTCTCAGAAGGGTGGTTCTTGGGCCTGAGTTATAGAAGGGGAAGTTTCCTCCAAAGGGAGGAAAGAGGTGGCTAAGTTGCAAAAAGGGTTTGACTTCATTTCTAAGCTGTTCTCCCTCCTAGGTATACTACCATGTGCTGGGGCTGGGTGAGCCTCTGGCCCTGAAGTCTCCCCGGGCTCTGAGACTCTTCTCCCACTTGCGCCACCCAGTCTGTGTGGAGTTGCTGACAGTGCTGTGGGTGGTGCCCACCCTGGGCACTGACCGCCTCCTCCTTGCTCTCCTCCTTACACTCTACCTGGGCCTGGCTCACGGACTTGACCAGCAAGACCTCCGCTACCTCCGGGCCCAGTTACAAAGAAAACTCAACCTGCTCTCCCGGCCCCAGGAAGGTGAGGCTGAGTGAAGAGCTAGCCTGGTTCCAAGCCCTGCACTTCCTCTCCTTTAACATCCAGGCCCTGGCTGCTTCAGACCATAGATTTATGGACTGAAGGGGCTGTCCCTTCCCTTGTTTGAGCCTCCACTCCTTGGGTCCAGCTCCATACCCTAAATTTTGAGTTTCAACCACTGGACCTCCAAGATCTCACCAGCCAGGAAAAGGAGGTGGGAAACTTATGTCTCCTCACAGTTTAGGGCTTGATCCCCCCCTTCCCCTCCCACCCACCTGCCTCAAGAACCTCCTTATAAAGGAAGAAGGGTGGGCCTGACCACTTTCCTCCCACTGTTACTTGATTCTGTGCCTCAGGGATCTCCTTCTCCTCCAGCTTCCCTTCCTAGGAGCAGAGTCTGCAGGTTTGATGGTAGTGCCTGCCCCACTGGCCTCTTTAGGCCCTGCCCCTGGCTCTGTCCTCTAACCTAGTTGAGAGGATCCTTCCGCTCTTCTGTTCTCCCGAGGAACACGCGCAGCAGAAAAATAAAATTCAGCCTTTTTTTGTACATATGCCATGTAGTCTGTCAGTGTCTTCTCTAGCCAGAGGGCTAACTTTGGGACGGAAGGCAAGCGGAGCCAGGGCACGCCAAACTCGAGTCTGGGCAGCCACCGCGCCCTCTGGCGACAGCTGGGCGGCGACCACTCCGGCAGACCCACCCCCATCTCCCCGGTCCCCCTTCCTCCAAATTCCCAATTTTCCCACTGCAGACCAGGGGACCCATGGAAGACAGGATGAAGCTAGAGAGTGGGGCATTGGCTCTGGTGGGGGAACCAGTTTCCAAGGTCGTTGGCTTCTGAGCACTTCTCCAGCCGCCCCGGCTCTCCACAGACCCACCGCAGCCTGGTGGCGGCCCTGGACCCCGCAGTAACAAAGGCTGTCGGGGTGGGGGGCGGGGGGGGAGGCAAAAGCGTGGGGAGGAGCGGCAGGAGATGGGAAGGGCGGGCCCGGCTCGCAGCAGCTGCTGCTTCCTCTCCAAGTCCCTGGAGGGGCCTGAGTCATGGGCCGCTGCCTTGAGTCTGTGAGCTGGGGGCGAGGGTCTGAACACCTAGGTTCTCCAGGGCTACTGGGAGGTGGGGGTGGGTTGAGGGTCCTGAAGACAGAGAGCGAAGGGCCAGGGGTTGCGGCGGGAAAGGGGTGAGTTGGAAAGTCTAGTCCCACACGGGGTCTCTGGAGCGAGGCCCCGCCCCCTCGGGCCCCGCCCCGCGCCCCCTTCCTTTTCCCCATTGTCCTCAGACAAAGCGGTCGCCGCCCCCCGCCCGGCCCCCAGGTCTCTGTCTCCGTCCCTCCTCCTCTTCTCCGTCTTCCCTCCTCCTCCTTTCCTTCCCTCCTCCCCTCCCTCCTGTCTCCGGATCTCCCTCAATCCCACTCTCCTCCTCTTCCTCTCTCCTCCTCCCTCCGGACGCCAGGCTCCTCCGCACCCCCTCCCCTGGGAACCCCGCTGGCTAGTGAGTTGACTGAGGGGCTTCAGACTTGGGGAAGGGGTGTCTCCTCCCTCTGTCCCCGCTCCTGCCCCCAGCCAGGACCTTGGGCTGTCTCCTCTTTGTGCCGAGATTGTCTGTGCGGTCCGAGCTGGGTGGGGATGGCCGGCTATGTCAGGGTTCCGTGAGATCGGAGACCCGGGCATAGGACTCGAAGGTCCGGAGAGCAGAGTCGTGGAGCCGGTGCTCCGCACCCAGGGTCCCGGGCCCGGCCGGTGGGAGAGGCAGGCGGTGGTGGCGGGACGGGTGGGGGTGGACGCCAGGGTTCCGAAAGTCCTCAAGGGAGGGTATTTCCCCCCGACCTGCCTGGGGGCGGAGTGCAGGGCGGAGGGGTGGCGGCTGGGGGCCGGAGAGGCGTGGCCCGAGCGGATCTGGGAGGGGAGCCAGGACCTCCCCGGCCCGCGCTGAAACGCGCGCCCCGCTCCTCCCGCGGAGCTCTATTTCCCCTCTGCCCCCGGAGGCTCCTTGCTCCCCTGGACCTCTCCACTCTCCGCCCCTCCTCACCTCCCCGCCCCCCCTCCTCAGGTCCCACCACCCCTTCTCGGGCGGGATTCCCTGACCTCCCTTCCCACTCTAACCGCCTCTGGAGTAGCTGTGGGGAAACCTCGCCTGACCCCTACTCCCCCGCAACCCCCCCTCCCCCGCCTATCTTTTCTCTCTCCTCCCTCATGCCGGCTTCTTTTTCCGCCTTTCTCTCCTCTCTCATCCTTGGGACTGTGATACCATTAACCGTACATTACCAAATCTGACTCCTGCCTCTTTGCCCTGAATCTCCACTCTTCCTCTCACTGCCACGACCCCACCCCCACTTGGTCCACAGCTTTTTCTTCACTTTCTTAGTTTCCCCCTTTCTCTGCTTTCCGTCTTCTCCCTCTTTCCCTCTGTCTTCACCCTCAGCTCCTTTGCCCATCTCTGTGTCCCACCTCTCCCCCTCTACTTCCTCTCCGCCCACCCCCAGTCTCACCCCCAGGGCCTCTGGAGCCTCTCCTTCCTGTTCTCTGGCCCCAGCGCTCCGCACCCTTACCTCAACGCGGTCATGGCCACCATCCCAGACTGGAAGCTACAGCTGCTAGCCCGGCGACGGCAGGAGGAGGCAGCCCTTCGTGGCCGGGAGAAGGCAGAGCGGGAGCGTCTGTCCCAGATGCCAGCCTGGAAGCGAGGGCTCCTGGAGCGCCGCCGGGCCAAGCTTGGTCTGTCTCCTGGGGAGCCTAGCCCTACACCTGGGACTACAGAGGCTGGACCTCCAGACCCAGACGAGTCGGCTGTCCTCCTAGAGGCCATTGGGCCAGTGCACCAGAACCGATTCATTCGGCAGGAGCGCCAGCAGCAGCAGCAGCAGCAGCAGCAGCAGCAGCAGCAGCGTAATGAAGAACTACTTGCAGAAAGAAGGCCCGGGACTTTGGAGGCCAGGGAGCAGAGACCCAGCCCTGGGGAGATGCGGGATCAGAGCCCCAAGGGAAGAGAGTCGAGAGAAGATCGGCTCAGTCCCAGAGAGGCCAGAGAGAAGAGGATAGGGGGAGCCCGAGAGTCGAGCCCCAGGCCTTCAGAGGCTTGGGACTGGAGGCAGAGCCCAGGAGAGGCTGGAGACAAGAGCTCCAGACTGTCGGAAGCGCGGAAATGGAGGCTGAGCCCGGGAGAAACTCCAGAGTGGAGTCTGAGACTGGCAGAGCCTGGAGAACAAAGCCCGAGGAGAAAAGAGGTGGTGGAAAGTAGACTGAGCCCAGCGGAGTCTGACAACCAGAAGATGGGCCTGACAGAGGCCCATAAATGGAGGCCCGACTCTGGAGAGTCTCAGGAACAGAGTTTGGTACAACTGGAGATATCAGAGTGGAGGCTGAGCTTAGAAAAAAGAAAAGACTGCTCAGAGGAATGTGGGAGAAAAGAAGAGAGGCCAATTCCAATGCTGGCCTCAGAAGAGATTACAGAGCTGTCAGAGACCCTGAGTAGGGAGGCTCCAGACAGCAGCTCTGGAGAAGTGGAGGCAGCAGAACAAAGGTGTAGCCCTGTGCAGGATGGTGAGAGGGGACTGAGGCTGACAGAAGGATGGAAATGGACCCTGAATTCTGGGAAGGTTCGAGAATGGACACCCAGGGACACAGAGACTCAAATTCAGAAACCAGTCCCTCCAGAGTCTGCTGAGAAGTATCTGGGGCCCTTTGGTACAGAGGCTGGAGAAGGCGAGGCTGAGAAGGAGAAGGCGGGGGCTCTGGGCAGGCCTTTGAGAACCCTGCAGAACTGCAGCTCTGTGCCCTCCCCCTTCCCACCAGAGGACGCTGGGACTGGAGGCTCTAGAGGGCAGGAAGAGGAAGCAGTGCAACCCCGGCCCCCACCAGCAGCCCCTCTGTCTCCCCCACCCCCAGCCCCACCTGCCCCCCAGTCCCCTGGGGATCCCCTCATGAACCGACTGTTCTATGGGGTGAAGGCAGGGCCAGGGGTGGGGGCCCCTCGCCGCAGTGGACACACCTTCACAGTCAACCCCCGGCGGTCCCTGCCCCCTGCAGCCCCCACCACTCCTCCCGCCACCCCAGCCACAGCTGATGTTGCAGTCCCCGGAGCTGGGAAGAAGCGGTACCCAACTGCTGAGGAGATCTTGGTTCTGGGGGGCTACCTCCGTCTCAGCCGCAGCTGCCTTGTCAAGGGGTCCCCTGAAAGGCATCACAAACAGGTAGGGAGCAGCTAAGCCAGCTTTCTTTAGAAGCCTGCTCATCGGTTCTTTCTGTACTCCTTTCTTTTTTATATCCCTATGTTCTGGTCTTTCTCTATTCTTTCGTGCTGATTCCTGCCACAACCCTTCCTCCTCTGCACACACACCCTTTCTTCTTGTTGCCCTCCTTTTCCATTCATTTCCAAGCCCAAGAATCCTGCCCTAAATCAAGTGCTGTCTCTGGGTGTGTCTCTCTCAGGGTGTGCCCAGGCTGCTCACTCTTCATTCCCTCAGGCTCTGAGTCCCTCCCTGCCCCCCATTTCTTTCCTTCCTTTCCTCTGAGTCTGGGACACAACCCGTCTGGTGGAGACCTGAGCTGAGGCTACAGCCTAGAATCTATGAAAGCAGGGTCCTCAGATTGAAAGCACACACAGCCTCCCAGGGGAGGGAATGTGGGGCTTCAGGAAGCCTGAAGAGGCACAGGGGGGTGCCTTTGGGGTTCTAGGGGAAAATGGCAGGGAGAAGTGAGTGGAGGAAGTTCTCAGTCCCAAGGCAGAGGGGGCAGAGCCAGTGAGGGGACTACTGGGATGAGGGTGGGGGAATGGCATAAGGCTGGCCAAAGAGAAGACTTTTGAACCCCAAGTCTGCTCCATGGGAGAGGCACACACAGAAGCCATTTGAAGTGGGTGACCTCAGGGTTGCACACCCTCAGCTGGGCCACTGCTTTAAACAGTGCTCCCTTCTCTCTTGGGACAAGAAAAGCCTTCTCTTCTTCCAAAATACCCCCACCCCTCACTCCCCTTCTTCCTTCCTCCCTGGGCTTCCCCTCCCTCCCCAGAACTGGCTCAGCAGTTGGTTTTCCCCTCTCTTCCTGTTGCCCTGGCCTCTCCCTCCCTTTGGGGTAGCAAAAGAGAGAAGTGAATTTGGAGACACTGAGCTGAGAGCAGGGAATACAATGGGAGTTGGGGACAGGGATGGGGGCTGAGGCCAGCAGAGGGTTAGAGGTTAAACTGGAAAAAGGACAAAGTGCAGGAAGTGGGAGCAGCCAGGCTTCTTGCTGTGGCTTCAGCCCAACCCCTTCCTTACACACCAATCAGTTTCCAGCTTGAAAATCTCTAAGGAAAGAGAGGTCCCTGCACCTAACACATCTCCCCAGAGACTGGGAAGCCCTTCATAGTCTCCAGTTGTCATCTCATCTGACGTCCTCAGATTTGTCTTGTGTGTGTGCACGCGCACGCGCGTGCTTTGTCAGTGGGAAACCACAGGGACCAAAGACCTAGATTAAGCTTGCGGGACACTTGATCCCCCAGTTCATCCTCATGTGCAGCTCAAGCTCCCCTCCCTGAGCCATGGTACCTGAGTCTATCCTGAGCACTCTGACTGCTACCCGCCCCTTCCCCTTTGGGCTGGACAGATGTTAGGAGGTAGGCCAGGAACTGCCAGAGTGAGGTGTTCAGACAAGTCACTTCCTATAGAGGTTGGCCTGTGCCTTTGGGGAGGAAGAGCAGAGGGAGGCATGAAATTCAGGGCCCAAAGCTGGGGACCATGTGAGTGCAGGACAGGACCTGTGATGGTGACCATACCTAGGTTAGGGAGCGGGGAAGCCGGAAGCAGATCACCCAAACAGGAAGCCTGGGGTGGGGGCCGGAAGGCTGGTGGGGCTGAGTGGGGAACCGCTGGGCCCTAGGCCTGCCAGAACTGCTCAGGATGTGGTGAGAGAATGAGGAAGCCATGGCTGCTCTAGGGGTGGGGGTGGAGAGAAGCAGCAGAGTTTTCTAGACCCAGACACCTCCCCCTCCCCCCTGTCTCAGGCCTTCTTCCCTCTCTCTGCACCCTGCTCAGCAGGGACTGACATGCTTGTTCCAGCTCTGACCCAATCCACTTGCTCTGGGACCAGAGGACTGCCCCCCCACCCCCTTCCCGAAATAACTCTTGTTTGGAAGCTAAGGCCATCAAATGCATCCTTGCCGTGGGAGAGAAATCCCAGCCCTGTCTTGTGGCTGGTGCCCTTCCCCAGAGGCCCTTCTAGCTGAGAGATGGGCCCCTCCCCTCTTTGGCCCCCTTGTGACTTTATATAGCTGATGGGAGAGGAGCAAGTGAGTCACACCCCTCTGTACTCCCCCCCCCCCCCCCAAACTCCCATGGAGGCTGTGCATTCCTGAGAAGCCCAGTCAGAAGTTGGCTGGGGGGGGGGGGGGTGTGAGCAGAGAAGCAGGATTGGAGAAGAGAGACAAACATGATTGAGAACAAATAAAATGAATCATTTTTCAGAGTGGATAACAAACCATGGAGCTTGTTATCCCAAAAGGGAATGTGAAAAGAAAACAAATGGGTTCCCAGAAGTTTGGGTAAATCTGTCAGTAACAGAACCAGAACTGGTCCTTCTGAAGAATTGGGATATAAGGGATCTGGTTGCTGTCATGCATTTCTACCAGCAGTTCCACAGATAGACTGTGTACCTTCCACACTGGTCCCCAGTGTTGGTTGTCTGTGGGGACCACACCTGAGGTCTGAACCAACTCTTCCTTACTCACCATAGCAACTTTCGTGCTCCTATGGACAGTGGACACAGAATAACAAGTAAATTCTCTGGTAGATTAGGAGGTGGTAAATGATTATGGAAAAAAATTACAACAGGGTAAGTGGAACGTAGACAGCGAGAAAGTTGGGGGAGTGAATATGAACTTTAAATAGGGTGACTGGGAGAGAGGGAGCTATGGGGGTATTTGGGGGAACAGTGTTCCAGGCAGAAGGAATAGCCAGTGCAAAGGCCTTAAGATTGGAGTGCCCCTGTTGGCCTTAGAGGAACTGTGACCAGGGTGGCTGCAGTGGGAGCAGATAGTTGCCTGAGAAGTGGGGGGTAGGGAGAAGTGGTACAGTGGGAGTACCCTGTGGGCCTTAGTCAGGCTCTGGCTTTTCCTCCCAGTGAAATGGGGAGTCAATGCTGGGTTTGGAGCCAAGGAGTCTCTGAGTTCCAGCTTCCCATGGAACCCATATTGCACATTCTGTACAGCCCTTAGCATCCACTTGTCCAGCCACCCTCCCGGTTTCTCTTTTCTCACACCCCAGTCCATGTGGAGACTCAAGGATGCAGGGCCCAAGCCCCAAGTTTCCCAAACAGGTCTTCTGGGAAGACCTGAATAGATAGTCTGGACCTTTCCAAGTAGTTCACACAGAATCCTCCTGTTTGTCTCCTTAATCGCTTTGGCTCCCAGAGTTAATCCCACTCTGCCCCTGCCCCTGAGCTTCTTAAAAGGGCAAAGGGGAAGAGTAGAAAGGGAGTGAGAACATCTGGGGCTCGCCTGCTCTTGGGACATTGTGTTTGTGGAGGATTTCTGCCCCCTCCAGGTCCCCTCTGGCTTTTTGCCTGTGTCTCTGCATGTTTCTCCTGTTGCGCTTTCCACCCCAACCTGTGTTTGCATGGACTTTCCTCTCTGCCCCTGACGCCTCACCTAGCTTCTCTTGCAGGGACTCAAGGGCCCATCTCCTCTCTGTGTTAGGGGAGAGTCTTGTTTCCTCTGGGCTTTTCAGTAGAGTCTCTTCTTCCCTCCCAGGCCCCAGCCCCACTTTGTTGTGAGTTCACTCCAGCTGTAGGAGAGGAGTGAGGGGGGGAGCAGGAGGGCACAGGTGTCCAGGGTTTCTCAGGAACAGCCAAGGGTCTGAGGATGTGGAAACCAAAGTGCTCTTCCTTGCTTTTGCCTGGGACTCCCTCTAGCCACCTATTTCCTGCCAGCTCAAACTTCCTACCTCTGGGAAGCCTTCTTGATTGCCCTCAGGGTACCCAAAGATTCGGTTCTGATCACAGGTGTTATTTCCACGTATTTTCTTTTTACCCTTCTGCCACCCACAGTCTAAAGAGTAGGAAGCTGGGTTCTGTATTACTCACTTCTGCACCTGTGTGAAAGTTCAGGCAAAAGTCTGATGTTTTGGAAATGGTATGACAGAAGAAGGGAAATCTGGGATTGGAGAGCCTATATCAAAAGGAAAACTGGGTGGGATGCCTGGGTGGCTCAGTCGGTTAAGTGTTGGACTCTTGGTTTTGGCTCAGGTCATGGTCTCACAGTTGGTGAGTTCAAGCCCCCTCACGGCTAGCTCCATGCTGACAGCAAGGAGCCTGCTTGGGGTTCTCTTTTTTTTTTTTTTTTTTTTTTTAACGTTTATTTATTTTTGAGACAGAGAGAGAGCGTGAATAGGGGAGGGGCAGAGAGAGAGACACACAGAATCTGAAACAGGCACCAGGCTCTGAGCTGTCAGCACAGAGCCCGACGCAGGGCTCAATCTCATGGACCCCGAGATCATGGCCTGAGCTGAAGTCGGCCGCTTAACTGACTGAGCCACCCAGGCACCCCATGGGGTTCTCTTTAACTCTCCTCACGTTTTCTCTCTCTCAAAATAAACAAGTATTAAATTAATAAATGCATAATAAGTAATATTTATAAATAATTTATTATTATATATTATATTATATATGTGCTATATATATAATAATTAATACATAAAATAATAAAAATTTAGGGGAAAAAAAAGGAAAACTGGATCCCTGGGCCCCAGAGTGGATAGGGAGGGTAAAGTCAGTAGGGTGCCCAAATCCAGCTCCCCTCCCCACCTGGCACGTGCTTCCCTAGGAGCTTTCCCCCGCTGAACTCCATGCTTCCTGCGTTTCTCTCCTACTCTCAGCTCAAGATCTCCTTCAGCGAGACAGCATTGGAGACCACGTATCAATACCCCTCTGAAAGTTCAGTGCTGGAGGAGCTGGGCCCAGAGCCTGAGGCTCCCAGTACCCCCAGCCCCCCAGCGGCCCAACCCGATGACGAAGAGGATGAGGAAGAGTTGTTGCTGCTACAACGGGAGCTCCAGGGCGGCCTGCGCACCAAGGCCCTGATCGTGGGTGAGCGGAGGCTCTGCTGGTCCGAGGACACCCCCTGGTGTTCCTATTGGGCACTGCAGTCCAGGAGGGAAGGGGAGGAATTAATTAATGTTGGTGCTCCTGGAAGAGACTTGGTAGGACCTCTAACCCCACCCACTCCCTTGACAAATGGGGAAACCAAGGTCTTAGAAAGTGAAGTGCACAAGGGATCTCCAGATTTCAAAACCATAACTCTTTCTGTGGTTAAAAACACAAGGTTTTGGTCAGACAGGACTGTGTTTAAATTCCATCTTGTCTCTTACCTGTGGTGTAATCTCCAGGAAATCACCTGCTCTCTGGCCTTATTTTTAGCAATTATGACATAGAGCTAAAAATAACCACCTCCTGGGGTTTACTGAGAGGGTTCAGTAATTTTTATGAAGCATCTTGGAACTATGGCTGGACATTAAATTACTTAAACTCATCTGGGGTTATTGTGTGATTAAACAGGTTGTAAGAATGCCTGGCACAGAATGCAAGCTTAGTGAATGATGGCTGCTGTTACTGTAGTAGCAAGCACTCAGCATGAAAGATATAAAGACTTATCTTCAGTGTGGAGAGTAAGGGGGGAAGGCGGGTGGCAGAGGCCCTCACTCATTCTCTATCATTATTGCCTCCTCTCCCACAGATGAGTCCTGCCGGAGGTGACCCTCTTCCAACATAGGGTCTATACCTTCCCCTTTCCCAGAACTGAAGATCCTGGAGCCCAGAAGATTGAGAACAGAGAAACCCTGAACATGAGCTTGGAAGGGAAGGCAATCGACATCTTCCAACTTGCTTTCCTCATCCTGTTTATAGGGGCAGAGCTAGTTACCCAGTTTCTACATTCACCAAAGGTCTCTGATGTGAGTGCATCAGACATGCTGGTGCACCCTGGGTGATTCAAGAGTGAGCATCAAGTCCTGGGAAGGAGCACAGAGCTCATGGGGGTGAGGGGTTGGGGGGGGGGAGATGAAGCACCTCTTACATCTCCATGGACAGAGTACACTCTCCAGCCTTCCTTTACTCCCCACCACCCCTTGAGGGCTCTTACAATTTAAACACTCATCCTGGGCAGCCTGCCCCCATTCTATTTACAGGCCCCTCTCCTTCCTGTTCCTTAGGTCACTGCCCCTTTGTTTACAGCTCCTGCCACCTCCCTTGACCACCAGCCTGGTTTACAAACCCCACTAGCTCCCAGCCCTACCTGCCAAAGTCCCAGGTTTACAACCACACCTACATGTTGAGTCTATATGGAATCCTCTCCCCTGTCCCTGGCAGCTGCCTCATTGGGGGTGTGGCTTCTTCCACTTTTGCTCAGTCTGTACCTCTGTTTTCCCCAAGAGGAAAGTCTGGGAATCCTAACCCTAACCTTGTACTCCCATTTAGTTATTTAATTCTGTTCCTCCTAGTGGTTCACAATTGAATTGCAAGGGTGTGGAGTGACAAACAATGCACCTCAACTCTTCTCTCCCATTTCTCCTTCCTTATCAACTGCCTGTTTGGGTTTTTTTGTTTGTTTGTTTGTTTGTTTTTGAAGTTTTCCATAATAAAATGGAGATCTCTCCAACTCTCCTGATGCTTTTCCTTCTTTAGAAAAAAAGTATGTGTGTGGGAGGTTCTGTGTTTCTCATACCAAGCCTCTCCCATCTTCCTATTGGCCTTGAAGAGGTAGTGGCTGTGGCTGCAGGAGGGAAAAATGATGGAAGTGAAACAGGAACTCAATACTGACATGAAGAAAGGGCTCTGTAAGAGCCCTGTATCTGTTTCTCGAAGGACTAGCAGGAAAAGGACTGGTTTGAGGAAGGGCAGGAAGAATCCACTAAACTGGAAGTGCCACAAGGGCAAACGATGTCAGTTGGGTTTAATGAAGTAGCCCAGGCCTCACAAAACTATTACTAGATTGAATGACTGAACAAATATGGGAATAGATGAAAATAGCTAAAATATTGGAATTGAAGAATTTCAGTATTTAGAAGCCTGCTAGAAGCAGCCAGCTAGTGTATAACACTGGCTAGTCCAGGGGCATTTACTTCAAGACTTGGGACCATATATAACAAGACTAAAATTGCTGCAAAATATAGTGTATGTACAGAAGTGCAGTTTTCTGAAAAAGAGTCCGCTAGACAATGGGTTTTATACCTAAAGGTTTAAGAGCCATTGATAATTCATGGGTTTGTTGCCCAAGTACACTGAATGTTGGCATTTCAAAGAATTTCTATCTTCTGTAAATGTGGAAGATCTATACATGTAGTTTGCTTATCAAGTCTTTTTTTTTTCTTTCTTTCTAGTTTGCTAAGGTAGTAAAGACTTGTTTGAGTAGTTATAGTCCTACTATTACAGGAGTTTTCTCAGCCTAGTCAGAGGAGACTCCCTTTTACTAAATACAAAATAAGACAAAGTGATCTTAAACACGTACCAAAAGTCTTCAATTTACTAGCAAAGGAACAAGCAAGGTGTTAGAACAATGAGCCAATTTAGAGTGGGTGTGAGTATAGAGGGAAACAATGCTTACATTAGTAGCTAATTAAGTAAAGATCCTAATCTGTTGTAACCCAGGAAAGCAGGGCAGGAAGCTCTGATATGCCTGTGGTGCCCAAAGTCCATCTCAGAAACAGAAAACAATGCATCTAAGAAGTCAATGCTAAGGAGCTACCTGTGGCTGTTGGATTATTTCATTTCCCAAAGGTAGTGTCTGATCAGTCCAGTTAGTCATAAAAGTATGAAACAGGGTCAAACCGACGTCAGATAAGCAGAGAGCAAGATAACAAGTTCTGCTTATTTTTTGATTAAGTGCCACCAGAGAATTCAAGCGGTTAGCGAAAATGTAGAACACAGTTTACACATTCCTTAGTTTGGAGACTTTTAAAAATAACTTTAAGACTGGGGCGCCTGGGTGGCGCAGTCGGTTAAGCGTCCGACTTCAGCCAGGTCACGATCTCGCGGTCCGGGAGTTCGAGCCCCGCGTCGGGCTCTGGGCTGATGGCTCAGAGCCTGGAGCCTGTTTCCGATTCTGTGTCTCCCTCTCTCTGCCCCTCCCCCGTTCATGCTCTGTCTCTCTCTGTCCCAAAAAATAATTAAATGTTGAAAAAAAAATAACTTTAAGACAGCACAAAGAAAAGAGGGAACCTTTGTTTTTTCCCCAAATCCTGTTTCTTCCAGCTTGGAGGTCCTTGCTTATTCCTAACCTGTATTCATTCCTGCTGCAGGTACAGTGCTAACAAAGGTAACTCCTAAACAGCATGGGCTAATCTTTCATCAGCATGGACATGACCTTCCATTTGAAAGAGAATCTCCCCCCACAACACACAAACCTTGCATTATTTTTTGACATATTTTTAACCATAGGACTTACATGTTTTATTATGTATCTTGTCTTCGACCCTCCCTTCGGTAAGGGATTTTTTCTGATTAGTTCTTTGCCATATCCCCAGCAACTAAAATTGTGCTTAGCACACAGCATTTGTTGAATGAATAAGTGAGAGAGGCATCCACAGACCGACCATCAGGGGACGATTGAGGAACTTAGTAGAGGCGGAAATAGAACATTTTATCCCGAGCCTCAGGGGCGGTACCGCGAGGTTTGAACTCGCTCGGCCACCATAGTGCTTAGACCGGAAATGATCGGACGCTTCCGGCCTCGGTGGTGCGGGAGGAAGGTTTGGGGCTGTCGGAAACCAAACCTCAAGGTCCTAAGGCAGGTCCTTTGCGGAGCTGAGACTCCAGCCTAGGACTCCAGGTCTCCGGGCCTCCGACGGGACGGCCGCCAGCGTGGCTGCTCGAGAGAATTCAGGGCCAGGAACGGGGCAGCGTGGGTCACCATGGCGACGCCAGCTGGGCTGGAGCGCTGGGTGCAGGACGAGCTGCACTCGGTGTTGGGGTTGAGCGAACGGCATGTAGCCCAATTTCTGATCGGTACCGCGCAGCGCTGTGCCTCGGCCGAGGAGTTCGTGCAGCGCCTCCGAGACACGGATACTCTGGACCTCAGCGGGCCGGCCCGGGACTTCGCCCTGAGACTCTGGAACAAGGTGTGGGAAGGGGTGGGGCAGGGGAGGGGCCCCAGTTTATTTGTCCTGGTGAGACTGGGCTAACTGTTCTTCAGGGAATTAAATAAGTTCAGTTTACAAGCACCTAGCCTTGTCCGTTGTCGCCTGGGTACTGTGCTAGGTGCTGGATGTCCAGCTGTGGGGAGAAGTTCAAGGACGGTTAAGTGCTACAGAGCAGTGTTTCTTGAACTTTAATATGCAGAGACTCATTCAGGACCCTTGTTAAAGTGCAGATTCCGATTTATTAGTTATGGGATAGGATCTTAATTTTTGCATTTCTAACTAGTTTCCGGGTAAATCCGATAGTCCACAGACTACACTTTGAATAGCGAGGCCAGAGAAGAGAGGTGCTGGGGCACTTAGGTGGCTCAGTGGGTAAAGCGTCCGACTTCAGCTCGGGTCAGGATCTCCCGCTCGTGAGTTGGATAGAGCCCTGCCACCAGCTCTGTGCTGACAACTCAGAGCCTGAATCCTGCTTCGGATTCTGTCTCCCTCTGTCTCTGCCCCTCCCCCGCTCACTCTCTGTCTCTCTCTTTCTCTCTCAGAAATAAATAAACATTAAAAAATTTAAAAAAAAGAGAGAGAGAGAGAGAGAAGTTCTGTGGAAGGGCAGAAAAAGGTAGCAGTACTGATCAAGGCATGTGGGCCCAAAAATTCCTTGAAATTTGTCAGAGAAGGGGAAAGTAGTAAAGGTGTAAAGGTGAGCTTCTAGAGGACAGAACTGTGTATTTCTTGTCTTTGTATTTCTCTCACCTGACAGCACGTTACAAAACAGGTATATGGAAGAGTGAAAGTGTTTGGCATGTTCCTAGAATGGCAAATAGCCTGCTTTAGTTGTCTGGTGAGAGATATGGTGCCTGGTGAGAGATAAGTTTAGAATGTAAGTAATATGAGGGTAGATGATTTATGTTAATCTGTTTAGCATCTCTGGAATCTGATACAGTGCCAGACATATGACAAGCCTTTGCAAATCAATCCTCGTAGCATGTCGGCCGCCAGCATGGCTGCTTCAGAGAATTCAGGGCCAGGAACGGGGCACCGTGGGTCATCATAGCGACACCAGCTGGGCTGGAGCACTGGGTGCAGTGGTATCAGAATGACTTAATCATGAGGAACAACAGAGGCTGAGCAACTGAGAATTGGTTTTGAGAATGCAAAATAAACTCCATGAAGGCAGGGATTTTTGTCTTTTGTTTATTCCTGTGTTCGTACCTAGCAAGTACCTGGTGCATTGGACAGGTTTCAATAAATGTTAATTACTGGATGAACATGGTGTGAAGCCATTGGGAAGAGGGACAATGAAGGCTGGTTTAAGATCAGGTCATTCCTTAAATTTGGAATGGGGCAAACTTGGTGGGCAGAGATCAGGAGTTGCTCACATCCCATTATCTTCCCTCCTACTGAAAGGTACCACGGAAGGCAGTGGTAGAAAAGCCAGCTCGAGTGGCAGAGCGAGAGGCCCGAGCCCTGCTAGAGAAGAACCTATCCTATAAGTTGCTGGAAGACAGTGAGGAGAGCAGTGAGGAGACCGTAGGTAGAGCTGGGAGCAGTGTCCAGAAGAAGCGTAAAAAACGGAAACACCTCAGGAAGAAACGTCAGGATGAAGAGGAAGAAGAGGAGCAAGAGGTTTCTGAGAAGGAGAAGAGAAAGACAGGGTAAGACAGAAGCAGGATGGGGCAGGGGATGATGGGATGATAAACCTTCTAGGAGGCCTTATGTGATCCTTCGGGCTGGGCTGCAGAGGAAGTAAACAGCTGACTGAGAAGCCAGAGTCGGAGGATGAGTGGGAGAGGACTGAGCGAGAGCGCCTTCAGGACCTGGAGGAACGTGATGCCTTTGCTGAGAGGGTTCGGCAGCGGGACAAGGATCGGACTCGAAATGTCCTGGAGCGGTCAGACAAGAAGGTACATAGGAGCAGCATGTTTTGTAAATCCCCAGGAATATTCCTGGTTGGGTGTGATTGCAGAGATAGTAATCTTTGGGAAGACCAGCGATGGCCTCTGGTGGTATTCATCTGTATGGTAAGAGGACCCCTCTGGGTGCTTTGGCTAAGGCGACCCTCTGCTGAACCTGTAGCCCTAGAGATTCCCACTGAGAAGGGACATTTCTTCATGCTATGGTATATCAAAACCTTGTGATTCTAAAGGGGGAGTGACTGTGGCTTTGGGAGATTTTGTCCTCACAGCGCTTTACTCTTGGTTTCTTTTCCTAGGCTTATGAAGAGGCTCAGAAGCGCCTCAAGATGGCTGAGGAAGACCGGAAAGCCATGGTGAGTCCCAGTGTCCAAGAAGCCAACATCAGAAAGCAAAAGGAAAGACTT